CCAATTTTATTTTGCCCTAGAAATTAAGTAATTCTCACTGCCATAAAGTTGCAAAGCTTAAGTGCAATACAGTGCTCTTTTTCCCAAAAAGTTTTTTAAAATGTTATTTGTTTTAACTTTTGTATTAAACCAAGAATGCCTTGTATTAATATAAACCAATGTTTATTTTGAAGTAATACATGCACATTAAGATGGCATGACAATCTCTCTGGTACGTGACAATCTATTCAAAGCCATAAAAGCTGCTGTTTTGTGTGCATTTTTGTGTTTTGCAGATCACTTGTTGACATAAAAATCACTTGACCTTAAGATGTTTCTCAAGGCATCTGCTGCTGATATTTTATTATTTATTTATATTTAGCTTTTATTCATATAAATAAATACTGAACGGAACAAATCAGTCTCAGATTTGCAAAACAAAATCCATATTAAAAAAATGATAAAAGTGAGAAATACTGTAAAACGCCTCAAAATGTATTGCTTTAAACCTTCACATTACATAATCACATTATTTGTTCAAATAAATGTCAATAAAAAAAATACATGTGCAGTCTAAAAGCTTATTAATTGCCTGATAAATACATTTTACCAGCACTGAACACATTTGAATGAACTGGTTCTCTCTTGCCTAAGCTGCATTTACATTTGAACGTGACTATGAAGTTGAAGTTGCTCCATTAATACTATTATAATTAGCCTGCTTTAATTTTCTAATTAACTTTTCCTCAGACTAATTTAGTTCTACACTATTCATAGTTCCAGGTGGCCCAGTTGAGCTCGGCTTCTCGTGCCATCCGGTCAAAGGTGTGACGGGACGTCTGCTCCCTCACCCTCTCCCGAGTGTAGCAGGAGGCGTGTGCCACCTTCCGGCTCCGCTCCTGGGCCTCGGCCTCGGCCCTCTCTTTCTGCACTGTTCAGCCTTGCATCTCTCCTCCCACTGCGCTTTCTCCTCCTCCAGGACTCTTTCTCGTAGTCTGTGATGGCTGAGCTTCTCCTGGTTTTCTCATCTGATGTCTTGAGCTCTTCACCACTGTTGCTCCTGCGCCTGCATCACTGCACGCTCCGTCTGCAGCTGGCAACGTTGCGCCCACATTTGCTTCTGCTCCATCCGATCCCTGTTCTCCCTCCTCGCAGATGCTGCGCCATCCGCATCTGCTCCTCCTCCTTCGCTGCACGCGATCGCATTTCCTGCACCTGCGCCTCTAGAAGCAGCATGTGGTTCTTCTTGGAGCGTTGCAGCTTCTGCTCCAGTCCTTTCTGCTTGAGCTCCTTCTCTGCACGCTCCTGCTCCTCGACCTCCTTTTTCAGGAGATGTTTGAGTAGCTCCCTCTGGTTCTCTTACTTGAGTCTCCTCCTTTCTCTCTTCTTCTGCATTTGCTTGCTCCTCATTGTGTGGTGTTCTTTTTCCTGCGCCTCCTGCAGCTCCTTCTCTCACTGCACCTCAATGCGCTCCTTCTCCCGCAGGAGCCTCTCCTGGTAGCGTTTGTGCTCTTTTGCATCCCTGCTCGCCACATCAAGCTTGAACCTGCATCGATCATGTTACTCCTCGGCGAGCCTCCTCCAGCGCTCCTCCTGCCGAAGCACCACCCGCTCGCGCTGCTCCACAAGCATCGCCTCCTCTTCCTCTCGCAACCTCCTCCACTCCTCCAAGTCCTCCTGCCAGCGGCGAATATGTCGCAGAAGTTCTTTGTGCTGCTTTCGCTCCATGTGAGCTCACCGCGCCTGTGCTCCTCCTCGCGATGTTGCTCCTCAAACATACTAAACTGCTCCTCTTCGTGCTTGGCCAGCATCAATGCAGCAATCTTGCAATCTTTTTCTGGGACGGCGATGCTTAGTTTGCGACTGATCTCTTCAGCCGACGCTGCGTCGCAGGAGAACGTCTGAGGTCGGCCAGACTGAAACTGTATGTGGTCGGGAACCCATCCGAGATCGAAATCGCAGACTTTGAACGATTATTTGTGAACCGTGTCTCACTTGGACATTAGGCTTTGGAATCGGTGCTTTGACTCTCAGCTGTTTGCTCCAGGACGGTTTCAGGGCTGTGAATGGTTTTACAGATGACTTGCTATTCCAGCCCTCTTGTATGATCCGCTCTCTCTCTCGACACAAGCGCAGTTGTTCTCTTCTTCCTTTCTCGTACTCCTCATATAATGCAGTCACCTCCTCCAGAGAGGACTTCTGGTTTTCATCAATAAAGTCTGTGAGGGATCTGAACAGGAAATCAACAGGTTTCACTCCCAATGTTGCACAGGCTTCAAGTGAACGTGGGCTTGTCAGAACATATCTGCTGTCTTCAGCTTCAGGAGAGTTGAAATTGTTTAAATCTAAATGCAGGAGAGGTGAAATTGATCTAATATGCTCCATTAATAACTGTGATCAACCTACTTCATGCATTTGATCGAGAATACAGCTGGTTTACAAATCCATCATATCTAGTTGCTGTTATAAAACAGTTAAGGACATAAAACGTAAGCTAATACAATTTAATTCTGAATTTTCGATTTTTATATGTAGAAACATTTTGTAATACGTATTCGCACCTGATGCCGGATTCAGACTACACAATATTTTTGTCGGTCACAATAGTCACTGTGTCAGACTACACGATATTGACTCCTAAAATCTTGTGTCGTGGACAAGAAACATGTCAAACTACACGTTGCTTTCCCGACCATTCATCGCGTGCCATCTTTAACGACGCTCGAGAAGGCGGAACTCGAGAAAACAAGAGTTGTAAACATTGCTGAAGTGCTTCCGCTACAGTTCGCCAGCATTTTTCTTTCTTTGTTCTGTCGTGGTAGTCCCTTGATGACACATCATACAGGCAGGAGTACTGTTGCCACAGCTCCACGAACCTGTCCTCCATCTCTTAATTCCATCTAGCAGCACCATCATCTCTCTTTCGTTTTGCCATGTTTGAAACCTGTGTGTGAAAGAGCTTCTGTGCTGCTATTGGTCAACGTCACCAATGTGACAGAACTTGTCGTGGATGAATCGCAGATGCGGAATCGGTTGTCGTCCACTATGACACACTACACGAGCTGAAACGATGGAATCTTGCGTCCCGACACCCATTGTCGTTTACGAATCCCCACGTCAAGCAAATCGAGGCAAAATCGGGCTAAAATCGTGTAGTCTGAACCGGGCTTTCATCTGCTCTTCAAAACCTCGAACACTTCTCTGGTCGCCATAGCTGCGCAGCAACGTCACAGGAAGAGCTTAAATTCTTCTAAGCTCATGGAAATAATTCAAATTCGAAACAGCGCCATCTAGTGATCAGGTGACGGTATTTTTGCCACAACATTGAGCACTAGCACACTTTTCAAAGCAAAGCAAAACACTTTAAAAATATGTTTGTTTGTTTGGTTAATTGGAAATATTAAAACAATATTTATAGTGCTGAAATTGAAGACAAAAATATAAAAGTATTGTGAATCGTTCATAGTGTAATGATCTACACGTGGTTCCTCTACTAGGTCACCTGTGTGAACTTGAGGAGAAATAACTTCAAATATAACCAATAAAACGTAAAATCAAATACCATTGAGGTAGTGAAAAGATCCTGGAGCATTTGTTTGCATGACATTTGCTTTGATATTTTTTCATTTAAACATTCTTTTCATATATAAAATTGACATTAAACCGTTTTCTCATGTGACTAAAACTGAAATGTATGAATAAAGCAGATTGATCTTTGCATAATATTATGCAAGCAGAGTTTATAAAATATTAATCAGTGTTAACTAACAGTTTTCGTCATTTTAATGCCCTTGTTGCAATGACCCCAGGTAACTATAACCATGGGAAGTATGGTATTTTTATCATGAAAATCAGCATTTGTAAATAGGTAACAATTGGTGGATGCAACATTTAAAAGTTGCGTCAAGCATTAAAGAAAAGTTTCTTGGGTTTGCCACTGGAATGACGGCACTAATCAAGCAAACTTCCTGTAATTACAAACCGTTTTTACTGAAACACGCCATTACGAGACACTGACAGACGAGCGGTCTCTGGTGCAGCTCACATACTGAACAGACACGATCACGCCGTTACAAACAACAATGTGTTTATTTCCATCCACAGTCCCACCTGACCACACATTTCAAATTTGCCAATTTTTGGGAAAACACCTCATTCAAAAGACACCAAAGCAAGTTGTGCATTTACATGATGTTAGAATGTGTCATCATACATGCTGCATTAAACAAATTACTAAAAAAAATAAAAAACATAAGGTCAAATGTAACACTTTTAGGCCTTCATTTAAAATGAGAAATTTCAACCATTGCTGACCAAATGTACTAAGGCCAATATTTGAAAGCATGTTCAAATCAAATACATGCAGCTGACAAAATAAACAGCAGACATCTGAATGGATCTTATGATTCAAAATGCCACTATAAACTCAAATTGGGGCCCTTTAATGGTGATACAGTACGATTTATCTAGAACCACTGCAAAATTACTTCCTTGTTTTGTTTTCAGTATAAATATCAAAACATTCTTAAATGGAGACATTTACTTAAAGCTGACTTAAGATATTAAAATTAGTTGAGTTTATGCTTAAAACAAGTAAAAATGTCTGTCAATAATGCAAGAAACATAAGCTTTAATTCAAAAGGGAAAACCAAATGATTGATTTTTATCTCGTTTTAAGCATAAACTCACTTAATTTTGATGTATTTTTCAGAAAACAAGATTTTGTCATCAAAAAGTCATTTTGAATTTTTAGACATTTGCAAAGGGAAAAAAAAAAAGACGTAAATATTTTTTGCAGTGAACTACTGCCCTAATAGCTCCATGTCTCTGCCATCACTAAACGAAACTAAAACAGGAGCATTAAAACTGTTAATATCTACAAAAACATTAAAAATAACTAAAACAGAAAGGGGTTAACTTGAACTATACATTATTGCTAAATACCGAATTGGCACATTTTACAAAAAGTATACCAAAAAAAAATGCAGATTGATTTGGCTCGTTTTTTTACCGGATGATGATGAAGATGGTCCCTCTTCGAATCCCTGTGTGAATACTGTCTATTCCAGTTCCACTTCTTCAAGAAAACACACAAGAGGGACAAACAGGCAAGCGGATACATGTGCAGAATGAAAACATTCTCTCTGGCTCTGTGTATATCTGGGGTTAAAGTTCCTCTTCTTCATCATACGGAGAACTAGGCCACGGTTCTAGATCATGGCCCGGAAAGCGAAGGATAACGCGGCTCCCACAGCCAAGCCAAGAGAGAGGAAGAAGGCCATGATGGCCCCTGCGGTCTCCGCTTCATGTTGGGACACTTTCCTGTGGGACGAACACAAAACATTAGAGGACATGCAGAGCTTTGACTCGACTGTTAGATGAACATCATCATGTCAGTGTTTACAGAACAGATTCAACTAATATCGCTCTGCCTGAGACTGATATTAGGTCTATTTTCCACACGCATGTTGATATTCTGTACGTACTTTGGTCCGAAGCACATGCAGAGGCTGGCCAGGTATCCGTTGCTGAAGGAGAAGAGGATCATGAAAACGATGTACCAGGCGTCGTGAGAGAACACCTCGGGCAGGTAGTGTCTGGGCTGAACGTTACAGAGCATAAAGAGAGGAACGAACACCAAGCGTGCGATGACCAGGATGGGCAGCCAGATGCTGTCTTTACCGGGCTGAACAGAGAACAGAGAGCACATGTCAGAATGTGTCCACAAACATTCATCATCACCACCATCATCTTCAGAACAAACCAAATCGGAGAAATGTATTACATTTTATTTATCAAGACACCATTCAGTTCATGTAAATACTGTATTAGTGATAGCTAAATAAACTCATTTTATATTGAAGTACTAAAATTACTCAAAGCTATTGCTAAAGAGAACTATTTAAAATTGTAATTTAAAATGACGAACAACAAAATTACAAAATTATATTACTGTGCCCACTTGAGCCAATTATCAGCAAGGTCTTTGTTGATAAATAAAAATATTAGGGCTGTCAGTCGATTCAAATTTATTAATTTTAAATTAATAATTTAAAATTAATTAATTTTAAATTAATAATTAATTGCAAACTAAATTTGGCTGTGAAACTACCATCTCGTTTAAAGCTATTATTGTGTTAAATGTTTAGGCTACAGCGTCCTAACATAAAGTATGGAACATAAAAGAAGATAATTTTTAGAAACATCTCAGTATTTTTTGTTCATGCAATGACCAAAACAGCTTAGTTACCAGGTATTCAAAATACCTTCTTTTATGTTGTGCTAAAGAAAGTAAGTCATTCAGGTCTGAAACAACACGAGGGTGAACTATCTCTTTAATGTTTGTTTTTTTTTATTTAAGAAATGAAATGATACTCCAAACAAGAAACTAAAACTACCAGTGGTAAATGTCTTTGTGAGTCGATTCGTTCAAACGGCTGATTCATTCAGGAATTCAGTAAACGGCTCTCTCGATGAACGGGCTACTGAATCATTGATTCACTCGATTCGTTCAAAACGCAGATTCATTCAGAAACTAAACAAAGTGACTTCGTAATTTAGTTTCTTTTTTCTTGTCTTCACCACCTGGCTACTGTTGTAACATGTTGAGAGATTCAAACTAAAATGAATAAAAAAATAGAACAAAATAAAAAAAATAAAGCCTGCAAGCGACGTCGCTTGCGGCAGTGCAAGTGTCTGAGAGTGCAAGCCTGAGAGTGCACGTCTGAGAGTGCAAGTGCAAGGCTGCAGCCAGACCCTTCTCAAAATAGTAATTTTCAAAATGATATTATAAATGATCTGTGGAGTATTTTGGGTTGAAACTTTACAGACACATTCTGGGGACACCAGAGACTTATATTACATATTGTAAAAAGGGGCATAATATGTCTCCTTTAAAGAAAACAAAAAATGATTTCGGTTTTGTTCTCGTTTAACACTAAAAGATTCTGCTTTAACCATATTTGTAATTAGTTTAGGCTATCCAACAGAGGTCCTAAGAATTCTTTACTTTTATGCTGCAAGGGAAAATACAGCTGAGTATCATCCGCGTATAGGTGGAAGGACACTCCATATTTCTCAAAGACAGTGGTGGACGAAGTACACAAATCAAGTACTTGAGTAAAAGTACAGATCCATATAATAAAATATTACTCCAGTAAAAGTACTGTTTTCAATTTTACTCGAGTGAAAGTACAAAAGTACTTGATTTTTTATATACTTAAGTAAAAAGTATAGATAGATGAATGTTTATTTTGCAGTTTTATATAGGCTACTTTTATCATTTAATTTTATATTAGCATATATTTTTTTATAATCCTACTGCTCAAAATACCTGGGATTTTCCCAAAATAACCAATAAGGAAATGATGAAAATATAATTAGATTTTCATAATGATTTTATTCTTCTCAAACCTTGTCTGTGGTGTAAAAACACCCCTGGCCAAACGCCCCCAGAGGGCATCACTTCCCACTTTGATAATTACTGTAGTTACCATGTTCTGAACATCACATTCTTTCTTTTCCCCCAGATGTAATCTATCCAGGTGGTTGAATAAAAATATGTGGACTTTATTTATTTTTTTTAATTACCTCAATTTAGCACCAGCAAGCTCGTTAGCTAGACAGTTAGCATCAGCTAACATTATTGACTTATTTTCAGCATGGTTATGAATAAACATTT